CTTTTATTGAAATCTTCCTTTTCTTTTAATTGGATCTTACATTCATAAATGAACCTCTGTCCTCTTTTGTTTGGCATTTTCAGCCTTTTTTTCCATAAAAGCCTTTTAAGCCGACTGTTTCATGTTGATATATTCCGATTTTTTAATTAAAATTACATTTTTGCGGCCATAAGATGTTTTGTGATGAAAAATCTGGAGGCTGGACAGTACTGGGGGGCCATCAGGGTGCACGGTCACATCTACAGTAGCCCAGGAGGGACAAACGAAACGCTACATCCAGAAAAAAACCTGCTTCACCAGGAACATTAAACATAAATCCTCTTTCCTGTGGACGAATAATGTTTATGCTAGCTTCCTGTAATGGGAACATTTGGGAATTGGAATCGTGGCCCAGACCAGGACCTCTTTTCCCCCGTCTGGAAGTCCTGAGTTCTGTTTGAGAAACGTTCCCGACACCCAGCTGGAGGAGATCCCACTCGTGATCGGGGCTAAACCCGCGGCCGTGCTGCGGCTGTGTTTGGGCTCACTGGATTAGAGCTAAACCGCTTCTTTCAGAACAATATGGCTCATTTAGGCTGACCCTCTTACGTCCTATCGCTTCGGTCCCATGTGCAGAAACAAGCCTTTTTTTCTATCCGCCGGCCTTTATGGACACAACCGAGAGCTCTTTCTTTGAGGGTACTTTACACTAACTGCAGGCGCATTATGGGATATACAGTACAGCCCGACCTCATTCGATAAGACCTCCTCCTCATGCCTCTGTTTCTGTTTTTTTTCTCTAAACGACCGTCCTGTACGGCTTCTGAAGAGGTGAAAGGTCAATGCTAGGGGCCCAGTTTAATCCAGAGGAAACTGGAAACTGGAAAAGTGGAAAATTTGCAATGTTTCGGACTGTTAACCCGATTCTTTAGTTGGAAACCTGAGAATAAAAAGCACAAAATAACAAATCAAAAGTACAAAAATAACATTTATTGGACACAGTTAAGTATATCAGTTGGGCTCTAACAGACAAAAACCTCTCTCTGGGTCTCTGAGATCTGGGTGTGATGGGCATTATCTCCTGGGCTTGATCAAAGAAGGACTGGACACAACCAAGTCCTATTGGCCAGTTACCTCTGGGCACAAACAGGCCAGGTCCTAATTCATGCAGATGACAGGAATGTGGTAACAAATGGTGTGTGTTTGTGTTGACCTAAAGACATGGATCTAGATCTAAAAGACTTTAACACAAAATATAGTTCTATAAGGAAATAAAAGTAACTTACATAGATCATGTGCTAGCATACAATGCTAAAGTGAGTGATTATAGCCAAATCTTTCTCTGAAATGCCGGCGAAAGTGAAAAACAGGCCCAATCGATCTCTCCACAGTGTCCTCCATCAGAGGAATGCGATCCCCACACATGATGAGCGTCATAACGCAATAACAGTAATGTAAACAGGTAATAACTCTGAATTGTTCCCTGGACGAGGGGAAGCGATGGTAATGTGCTCTCAGATCCCTCAGGATGGACTGAGACCGACATAAGAGCATCTGAGAGGAGCAGAGCCGGATGCTGTCGCAGTAAAGGCTGCGTTCTGCTGCAGGCCTTTAGTTTGCACACAGATAACGGACGGGGGGAAACGTCCACGATTTACGATTTACGATTTACAGCAATGCACGATTCATTTTCATTTAACTCATTTAGAGTTTCAACCAAGACTGGTGGGGAAAGAAAAACCCAGCAGAGGCTCGTTTCCAGATGCGTTTCGTCTAAGATCGAGAGGTTTAACATCTTCACTGTTTTCTGTTTAAGATGTTTGAGCTAAACTCCAGCAAGACACCCGATTGTCGCTGGGACAAATTGTAATTTAAGATCACAGCAAGCTTGATTCTCCCTCTGGGACCAGAAGAGCATCTCAGACACTGGAGCTGCTCGTGCATAGAACACAACCATAGTGTTAGGTTTTTGATATTTAGGGAGAAAAATCTGGATATTTGACACATTTTTCCCGATGAAAAAGTCCAAATTAAACAGTAATATATATGAAGAAACAAAAGAAGAGAAATCTGTTTTTAGTGTATTTATACTGGCTCCCAGTTTTGATTCTAAGATCTCATTATTGACTTTAAAGCCTGTCTTCTTATCGGGCCTTTTGATCAAATCGGGGCCTGAACTAAAGTAAACTTTTACTCCTTCCGGAGACTGTTTTAAGTCCACAATGAGGGAGCATTTGTGGTCAAAGCTCCGTGTCCACTCCTCTTTTGAAGGTCCTCCTAAAACACAGGAGGACATCCTTTTTATTTTATTCATTTTTAAATCAATGGGTAAAATGCTATTTGAACTTAATTCCATTTTACGCTGTCGAGTATTTTTCATTTAGATTTTTTTTTCATCTGCAGCCATAAAAGCTTTGACACATATAAAACTGTTGATAAACCAGATTTAACAGATGGTGTCCAACCACCCAGTAAAGAGCGAACCCCAGACAAATATTCCAGACAAATATTCCATCAATAGTCATTTTTAAGCTAAAGAACATCTCATTTATTCATCCGGAGCGTTTCCATCTGAATCTGAGGCTGCTGAACCCCTCAGTTCTGCTTTGGCATCTTCTAAAAAACACTGATTTTTTTATTCATGACAAAAATCGCCGTCCCGACTGTCCTGGCTAAA